AAAAACCCAACGCAACCCCGCCCAAGTTGCACTCTACTAATTTCATAAACTGAAGCGCTTCCAGTTTCTTTTATCTGTGTGAAACCAAACCAAACATAAACCATATGGATATATGCTCTGATATGACAAATCAATTGCTAGGAAACTTTTAACATGGATAAATTAGGAGTGCAAGACAGATACCCAACTTGAGGAATCTATACATCATCGAGCCCTTTGGTCTGGGCCCATTCAAAATATAACAAGTCCTCAAACCAGAGCCCGATCAACTTACAGTCCATTATAAGTCATTCAAAAATCATAAATGGGTTTAAGCGGGAATCCTTTGTTTGGAATCTATTGTTTGGAATCCTTTGTTTGGAATCTGCCATGTGAAGCACCTAAATAAATATCAATTCAAGTTTTTCATAACCAGTGCTGCTGAACAGCTTTCTGGTTTTTATTTTAAAACAAGGTAGCACAATAGCTTTTACATTTTTCCAGGTTGGGGAAAACCTTTGTTTTCTAATCCCATTTTGGACTTGAATTTTTAGGTCCCTTCTTTTTTGGATTTTGAGAGAGGGAAAGGTGGTGAATGGGATCCATTTTCTTTTTTTCCACTGTTTCCAAAACTGGATTGGACCGGACAGTCGGACCAGAAAAACCGGGAAGCGGTCACCTGATCGGTTCCGTTTTCCTCCAAAACCGTTTTTTCTCCCAAAACTGTTGATTTTATTCAGCAAACCGCTGAACCGGACGGTTAATCGCTCGAACGGTTTTAACCATTTTTCAATTTTTTATTTTTTTTATTTTTTTTTGTCAGAATGGGCCAGCTGTTTGGGTCAAACGATTGGACCGTTCAAACCAGTAACCGGACCCTTGACCGGTTCGGTCACCAGTTCGTTTTTAAAAACCATGCTTTTTTCACATTTATGTGGGGTACATGAAAAATTTATTTTCCTTAAATATCACTTACCCTTATCTATTTCCCAAGTGGGTAACTTTTCCATCATAGGGGAAAGTTGCCAACACTTGGAAGGAACAAAATTACCCCTTTTAATAATAGATTTTTATGACAGACACGGTCATTGTCTTATTTACTTGAAAAATAAAAAAGAATATGGGTAAATACACTTATTTCAATAAGTGTGTTTAACCGGATAAATAACATTGACTTCCATTAGAATTCTGGGAGAATGACGGTTCAGCCCAGGGTCAATTTTTAGGCCCAAAGTACAGTTGGAGTAGGTGCCATCTCGGAATTGATGCCAATTCATGGGCGGGCATTGGTGTACAGAGTTGGGGCTTTTGACATTTTAAATGTTTATAAATCTGCAGTGGAATTTAAAAATCTGCATTGAATCTGTCCATACTTTTCCATAAAATTTTTCCATATGCATGCGAACAGAACTGGAGAGAAAAAGAATACATTTCCGCATAAACCACAATAACAAAAGAAGCTGAGAAGCTTCTACTCTCTATTTAAAGGCCTTCAGATTTCCTACAAACTTTTCCTACCCACTCTCTACCCACCATGAATTGGAGCCACACATATCTTAAATCATAATAGAATGTGTGGCTCCAATTCACGGCGGATAAAGAATGGGTAGGAAAAGTGAGTAGGAAATCCCAAGTGCATTTAAAGATACCTCCATTCTGTTCTTGCTTCCCTCTTAAATCATTTCGATGAGTTTTTCGAAGAATAACAATAGAACAACAGAGAGCAGTGTCTTTAAGGAACTATTGTAGAAGCAAAGTTCACAATGTCTTGATGTGATGTCTTACCAACGATATCTTTGATGCTCTCTTCTCTTTGCAACGTAAAATGCAATATCAAGGACTTATCTAGAACTAGCGGCTAAGTTAAATTGACCTTGGATTGACCCAATTGCACAACCAACATGATGATCTCCCACCACCTAACCACATCTTAAATTAGGGGTGAGAAAGAAAAATCGAATAAAAAATTTATCGAAACCAAATAAAAAATTCAGTTAATCAAATCAGTCGGTTTAATATTTTGAAAAAACTAAAAGTATCGGTTCGGTATCAGTTAACTAATATAGAAAACCGGTGGTTAATCAAACCGATTGGTATATATATAATTTTATATTATATATATATATATATATATTATATATTATAAATTAATAAAAATACATTATATGTTTATAATATATAATATATTATATATTATTTAAAATATAATATTTTATATATATTTCCAGTTTTTTCTTATATATTTTTTATAATATGTATCATAAATATAAAAAAAACTAACAGTTAACCAGATCAGTCAACCGATTAATCAATCAACTTTGGTTCGATTTTGGTTACTGATTTTTTAGAAATTGGTAATACCGGTTTGATTTTAAAAATAGGCCCATAATAAAACCGTGAGTACCCATGGGTAGACTAACCTCCTCATATCAAAACCATTTCATGGCCGTTTTTTACCACTAAATACAATGCGTTCAAGTCTTTATTGCAGTGAGTGTAGGTTCTATCAATCAGCGGGGGTTCTATGCGTGTGAAGAGTGCGAATACAAATATATAGAGTGAATAGTCTTGTAGTTTACATTATTTTATACGTATTGGTATTAAACATAATTGTATTTTAAAAATAGGCCCATAATAAAACTTTGTAATTTGTATTGTTTTATATATATTTGTACTATAGATATTTGGGTATCTACATGTTATATACAAAATAAAATATAAGGTCAAATGTTTCATAATTGGGTCAAATAGGAAGATGGCCTACACAATGTGGCATACTTTTGCCATGTGAAGAGATGAAGTGGGCACCCGCAGTTCACATACACCCCATGCAGCCATACCCCACCTTATCATAGTGCTTCCTGACAAATAATATCACTGCTGAAAAGTTTCAACGTTGCCTCAAAAGCAAAGAATTAAAGATTGTTGGACTGAAATTTGCACATTAATTAATAGAGGATAACCTGTAGCCTGTAGGGCCATTTCGAGCCTCCAACCAATTTGTCACATTGAGGATAGCTTTGGTCATTTAAGCTTTCCAGCTAATTGAGTCGACTAGACGTGCTTCTCGTATGTATAGGATATAGCAATAGCATGGTTTTTAAAAATGAATCGGTGATCCAACTGATCAGGATCCGGTTATTGGTTCGGACAGTCTGACCATTTGACTCAAATGGTCGGTTTGTTTTGACAAAAAATTAAAAAACGGTCAAAATCATTTGAACGGTTAATCGATCGATTCAGCAATTTATTGACCAAAATCAACGGTGTTGAAAGAAAACAGAATTAATCAAGTGATCGATTCCCAGTTTTTTTAGTCTGACCGTCCGATCTAGTCCGATTTTAAAAACAGTGAACAATAGCATAAAACTAGCTAACGACATTGTAGTTGATAGTTGGTACTTGGTGCAGGGCATTTATTTGAGACCCGCTTCCATGTGGTGAGGCGGTTTTTTTTTTTTTTTTCTGTTCTTAGTTGACCTTGGAGATTAAATTAGGTTTGATTTCTGATTGAAAACAAAATTGGGTTTACTTAGAAGAATGTCATCGACTGTATTGGACTTCTTCATTTGAGTTTGGAATTTGATTTGTGATTCAGGGATAATAACTAACTCTTTAATTTGAATTATGGAACACCATAATTTTAAGCTTTTCTTTTTCTGAGTAGGAAACCTGCTTAGCCCATGTCTTTAAACGAGAAGCTCTCATATCTAATAGGGCTTTGCTTTATGGGCTGGGCCAGGTGGATTAGGCCTTAATATTTGAATCCCCGGTCGAGGTTGATACTTGATATGGAGTTTGTATTAGAAGACAAAGCTCTGCTATTGTTGCAAATGGCAGAGAGGCGAGACTCCGGATTTCCTGCCCACAGGACTCTATCCACCCTGCACTCTCACATTGTGAGGTGTGAAAATTCTATCCAACAATCATTGCCATGTCGTGTGCCAAAAAAGATCCTCAGCTTTTGAGATAGGCATGGTCGCAACAAGATTGTGAATCCATGCGGGTCCCTACTTGGTGGACAACTTGGATTGGGCACGTCATCCCTCCACATGGCAAAAATATGGAAGGTTGTGTTGGAAATCTTTCTACTTGACCCAATTAGAAGAGTTCAAATCAGCCCCCCACAAGATAGTTTCTACACAATGTCTAACAGTACATCCTCACCGTGTATTAGGAACATCTATCATCGGGAGATATTTTTAATACATCGTGCTGTGGGACGTTGTGGGAAACTATCTTGTGTGGGGTGGGGGCTGATTTCAACTCCAATTAGAAACGTTAAACACAATGGGGCTATCAGGCTATGTGGCGGTGGACAAGGCTTTGTTTTGAATTGGTTCTTTTAGGGGCCGCAAAGGATCTTGCTTGCTTGGCTATTAATTAAATATGGTTCATGGATGGCTTCATGCGTAGCTCAAACCTCAAAATGCTCTCTATCTTTTCGCCGGAGGCAATAGCAGTTTTTTAAGCTGTTAAGCTTGTTAAATTACTGATTCTTTCCAAGGTGATTATTGAATACGTGACTGTGCACAACTGATATCATAGAACGACTTTAATTTCCACTAACAAGGGGAAATTGTTTCATGGAAATCTTCTTTTTGATGAGGGACGACATACCAGTTTTTTTTTTTTTTTTTTTGTGTGTATTGAACAAGGCATCGACTGGTCAAGTAACAGAGTAGCGCACGAGTTGGCTCGTCGTGGTTATACTGAAAGGCTGAAAGCCCCTTGTAGTAGTTTGGTTTAGTAATCAGTAAGCCACTAAGCCTAGTAGATTGTAATTGTTTTATTTTTCTTTGTGTTTACTTCCGTTCATGTTCACCCAAAAAAAATAATAAAAGAAAAATCGAACTTGTCCTTTGTCCAGGTTCAGTGGGGTTTTTCTGGGCCAGAAAAGCAAGGGCAAAGAGAATGAACTTGTTAGGTGGAGAATCTGGTCTGGGTTTGATGATCAAAACGCTGTTGAACAACTTCCAGAATCAATCTTCTCTATAGAGTAGTATAGACTCATTCTCATGTCTTGGTAATTTCTAAAACATCAACAGTTAGAAATATGCAATCTGCCTTCATAGGAAAATATTGTTAATTAAAAGGAATAACAATTGACTCGTACGAAAACATTGTGTTTAGTTATAAATTGCTAACTTGTGAAATACAACAAATCAAGATACAATGGGTTTCACTGCTTCCATGTAGCCTTGTTGAGAACTAGCTCTCCTCTTTTGGCCAGATTTGTAGTACATGTACTGGACAATGATCTGTATAGGCATTGTGTGTTAAAGTCAACATAAGCAAAAGAGAACTGATTGAACAAAACTAAATAATATATGGTTCTCCTCCATCTAGAATATTTCCCAAAGGATACAAATAAGTCGAGTGCCACACAAACGATAGCATCAAATAGCCATGGCATGTTAGCTTTTATTCTGGTCCATTCTGTACTTCTAACAAGAATACTGCATTAATTCAAACAAAATATTAATTAGACACATAGATATATGGAGAGAGAGATCCCCTAGAGAGAGAGAGAGAACCTTCCCACGTAAGTGACATTGGCGATGAGCGCAAATATGAACATGAGAGGGTTCAACCCCTAGAAATTCAAAGATAAAACAATTTATGAAATTGAATTGAGCACTGGACAAAAAAAAAATCAAGGCAAACTGGAAATGTATAAAAATGATATAGATATATCTACCTCCACACTCCCTCTTCTAATCTGAAAAATAAAGGCCACATAAATTTCGTTAGAAACTAAATAAATCAAAACACCAAGTGACAAAAAGAAGAGACAAAGCACTAAAAAGAGTACTACAAAGTCCCAACTGTGGCATGGACATGCACTGAGTAATATATATAAGAACCGGACTGTCTTGAGCCTTGGCAGGAAGAATCCAACCGGACCAACCCGCACTTTGTTGGATGGGTCAGTGCTGTCAAATCCCTGCTTCCATCGAGTTTGAGGTAGGCTGAGGCAATGACTTGGATCTAGAGATACAAGACGCATAGATGGGCCTGGAGCTCATAACATGCCACGTAGCACATGTTCAGACATTGGATGAAGAATGGCTCGATCCCCCCAAAAAAAAGAAAAAGCGAGCTGCGACAGCTTATCACTAGCTATATTCATGAATGTGTAAGTAACATCAACTATTCACTCTAGCTAGGTCCAATGGTCCATATATGAAACAAAGCATGCATCCAAATTCCAGAGATGAGGACAATAGAAATCCAAAAGAGAAGAGAAGACAACGATTCTTGGTGCAGGTGGGTCCCATCAAATGGTGAATCCTTTACTCGGAGTCGGACAATGCAAGCAAGCATCCACCACCATGTTTGTCACCTTGTCCGTGACGGGAGAGCATTGTGGTTGTGGAAGAAGTGAGCTCCATCCATCATCTCTTGCATGTAACACTACAGTACAGTCATAAAGTGAACTCGATAACTTCACTAAATTAAATACTTGGTATTCTTATGATCTAATCCAATGACTCCCACTTCTGGTTCTGGTAGTGAACTAATACTACGCCCAAATATTTGTGAGGAAGCAAATTATTGGTTTCTCAAAACTATACTCATCAAGAGTCGCTGCAGGAAAATTAAGGGTACTCACATTTAAGAAAATTTGAGGGAGTCGGCCTCCCATGTAAATAGCAGCCATCAACCATCCCAACAGAAGTCCATAGACGTTGTTCGCAACCTCAGTTTCCTACAAATTAAAATTTAATTAAGCATACATGTATATATTATAGGAATGACAAGCATCGATCGATCAACGCATCAAACGCCATGAATGACTTGATTTCCCTAATAGGCTAATATAGTTATACTAGTATCAATCCACACAAACACTCGTCGTCATACATGCAGTCGTCTTCCTGTTGAGGCCAAGTATCCTTCCATCAAAGCCATACTACGAAAGGGCAAGTTAGCAGATGCACCAAGGAACGCTCCATATCCCACCTGTGAACATATTTTGGCCACTAATTTATCAGGCCAGCTTAAAATTACAAATTATAAAACAGAAAAATGCAATCCAAGCTAAGTTTTTGAAAGATCAGAGGTTCAGCATATTTCCTTCAACCCCAAACAAAGTAAAATCTTTTAATGCGCTGGCATCGGTAAATTCCAAATTTCTTTAGATTCAAAAATATGCTCCTCTGATTTTTGCTCATATTTTACGAAACTTTAGCCAAAAAAAGGGGGAAATGATCCTGTTTTGGAGAACAAGTTAAGAACTCGTATTCGTATACCCGGGTCGGGTCTTGATCTATTTCCATATATGGTAGGTAATGGGGTTATTAATAAGTGAGAAAAAAAAAAAAATTACAGTCTCAATTACCGAAGGTGGAGTCCTCTTGGGCTGGCTTGAAGACTTCTTGTCGTAAACGGGAAACGCTTCATCTTCGGAGGAGTCGCTCTGTTCCTCCACAGCCGAAGGACCACTTCTCGAAATCCCAAGATAAGAACCCAAGGTAGGAGTACTACTACTAGCCAGTGACCTTGCAGACCTGGATATTTTGCAAGATAATAAAGAAATAGAACTTATCAATTTTGACACAAGTAATTTGCACAGAGAAGTAAATACTGACGTGTATGAGAACTTGGATGTATATGTACGTATAGTATAAATCTCTCGAAGGAGATGCTTCCTGTGGTCCACTACTAGGTATCGGAACGCTTGTATCAAGTAGCTTGGAGTTCAGAGGCTTTGTCTCTTCATCAACCTGAAGTGTTGATTAAAAAGAAAATTCACAAGTAAGGATAATATATACTAATTAATATATTGATACTGTTTTAGTTTGGTGACTACAAAACTTGAAAAAAAAAAGAGAAAGTGGGTACCATTACATATGATTGTTTGCCTTTGGACTTCCACCATAAACAGATACGGTCGTAGTATAAACACTGCAATACCAATACTACTGTGGTTACTGTGTAGAGCTGCAGAGAAAAAGTAACGAATACGGATATAAGCAGCTACATTAGATCATATCAAAGCGGTGACTGGTGAGATAGCATTTGGGATCCTTCCAGAAAAGAACCCACAAAGTTATAAACATAACAACCCCAAAGGCCAAAACAACTTCATTTCCAGGTTTGTATACCAACATATGTAGGGTGTTTAGCATTTAACAGAAAAGAAATGTAAGAGGAAGGGTTTGCCAGGTTTGTATTACCACGGCCGTGTAGAACTGGGTCGGCAACTGCAACAAGCCATCCACACCAGGAAAAAGAAGAAAACCAGTAAGAAATAAAATTCATTATGATGAAAATGAAATGGGTCGGTAATTAACCCAGAGAAACCAACATCTGCGTGTAGAGTGAACTTTTGTTTGAGGTTTGAACCATTTACAACCATGGAGAAGAAAAACTTACTGTAGCTGGTTCTAGAAGGCAACCTACTAAGTTGAAAACATCACTGCAGAGCAAAATAGAACCGAGTATGAATGAGACCTTTTAATGTGTCGTATGTTTTAAAATCCAAATGAAAAGATAAAAATGCTGGCGCAAAGGTTAATAAACAAATTAAATAAAAAATACATATGGTGAAAGAATACAAACCCAACAACCCAAGTAAGGAGAAATGCAAGAGAAACACCCTGGCCAGATTTGGTGTTGAAGTTGGTGATGATCTGAGGGATTTCAGCAACTCCCCAGCATATGAGACTAAAGAAACCGAAAGCGAACGAGATTTCATCGCTTAGATTGCAGAGACAGTCTTTGAAATATATCTCGACCCATCCAACACAAGGCTTCTTCTGCTTAGAACAGTAGGCATGAGAAATGCGGTTCACCATTCTCTCTCTCTCTCTCTCTCTCTCGGGTGGGCGGGGTGTTTGGGGCGGCCGTGGCGGTGATGGTGTTGAAGCCCGGTAGGTGGTTACTTTTATAGGCGGAAACCTCTAAAGATACAAAAAAACCGCCTTATCCTGTCAACAAAAAGAAAATGGTGAAATTGAAAGAGCAAACAAAAAAACTAAAGCAGTAAACGGTAAATGCCAATTTCACCGGAGTCCGTGTCCGTCTGGGTTAAGAAAGAAAATGTTGTGGCTAGAAATTAGGGAGACCACGTAGAATATTCGAATCTGAAGTCTATTACTCTCTTGTGTGTTTATTTTGTGGAATTCTTTATGCTGTGTTTGGTTGCGATGCAAATGAATTTGCACTGATACAAAATAATGACGGTGCAAATGATTTGAGTATAAATTTTGACCTATTTTTATTTCAAATTTTAGCTTGTTTTATTTGATTACAATACAAATAAAGTAAATCAAGATATGAAGCAGAGTAATGTAAAATTTAAAAAAATAAATAAACAAGAATTTGCATTTTTTTATATTTATACTCCCATGCATTTGTATTAGTGCAAATAAAATTGCACTGCAACCAAACACAATATTAAGTTCAATTTAAAAAGAGTACAAATATAAATATGCACAGTGCAAATGCATACAGAATAACACAAAATATAAAGTTTTGCACTTTAGGCTCAATTTGGAAGGAGTACAAATACAAATATGTACAGTGCAAATACATACAAAATAATATAAAATATAAGGTTTTGCACTCTACAAATTTGTATTTTTACTCTTCCAAACTGAGCCTTATATTTTGTATTTGTACTCTTTTCAAGGCTCGGTTTAGAAAGAGTGAAAATACAAATATGTAGAGTGCAAATGCATACAAAATACAAGGTTTTGCACTCTACATATTTATATTTATACTCCTTTCAAACTAAGTCTTAGGCTTAGTTTCGGAGGAGTGCAAATACAAATTTGTAGAGTACAAAACCTTGTATTTTGTATTATTTTATAAGTATTTGTATTTGTACTCTTTCCAAACAGAGCCTTAGGCTGTGTTTGATTGCAATACAAATAAATTTGCATTGATGCAAAATCATGACAGTGCAAATGATTTGAGTGTAAATTCTGATTATTTTTGTTTCAAATTTTAGCTTATTTTATTTGACTACAGTACAAATGAAGTAAATGAGACACGAAACAGAATAAAATAAAATTTAAAACAAAATTAAACAAGAATTGTATTTTTTACATTTATACTCTCACACATTTGTACTAATGCAAATAAATTTGCACTATAACCAAATACAGCTTTAAATTCAATTCAGAAAGAATACAACAAAATAACACAGGTTTTGCACTCTATATTTTATATTTGTATTCTTTCCAAACTGAGCGCTAATTATTTTCTTGTTATCAGGAGAATTGAATCGAGATTTTCTTGTTGTAGTGTTTAATCAACTCTATTTTATTGTTTTTTTTTTCAAAAAACAGAAGCATGCAGCTATCATCCCTTGATATAAGGAGAATATTGCAGAAGAATTTGTGGCATAATTAATGGTAATGGACTTTATGTTATCAACTCTGAATTGAGAATTGGGTCGCGAGAAGAATCCTTTTCTCGTTGATTGGACTTGGACTTGGACTTGGACTTGGACTTGGACGACGTGAAATTTTATGCAAAAGTAATAACATTTTAGAAAGAATACAATATTTTATTAGTTTGCTTGGGAGCCCACCTGGTGCCTTTAGACAATCTCTGTAGCATTTAGCAGCAGAACGGCCACGTGTCCGTCTAAATTGGTTGAAGTGGCTTTCCATTTTCCAAGGGGTACCCACTACCCACGGACAGTGAGGACACAATCGCCGGGTGTCGGTTTCGCGAATTAAAGAAAAGAAATCAGCTCCAAGGAGCTAAATCCGTCCGTGAAATTAAAGATTTCGATGGATCGTTGTGGCCCCATTTTTGGGTCTCCAAGTTCAAATTAGATGGATTCACTTTTACGACATGAACTTGGGTCTCCAAAGTTCAAAATGGCCTTAATTGGAAATATTGCAGATCTGCAATGTCTCTTCACTAAGCCATTATTATTTCATTTTATTCAAGGTGGGGGCCCTAAGCCTAACATTAATACATGGTCAAAGGTGGTTTTGATTTTATTGTTTCACACTTTCACTGCCACGCCACAAGCAGTGTTATAGCAAATATTATCTGTATCCCGATTCCCGAGTCAGTTTAGGCTCATCCAGACATTGTCTTCACACTTATTATCTCCCCTCCTTCCTAAATGAATTTGTTGAAATTGGCTCATGGAGACATTGGTTTACCCAGAAGAGCAAGAACCGTCCATTCACATTCAACTTATGGGGGGGGTGCTTACGGTTTACAACATACAACGTTTTTTTTTTTTTTTTTTTTTAAATTGTCATATCAGCCAAAAAACAAAATCATGCATTTGAACTGTTTTTTGGTCGTGAGAAGCAAAATCAGGTTGGTTTTACTTGATAAAAATAATTCATGTTTTTTAAATCATTAAAATGATGGTTTTTAAAATAAAATATATATATATAGTATGTTTGTATGAAATATGATGAGATTTATTATATGATTTAAAATTAAAAAAAAATATATCTATTCTTTTGTTTTTCTTTTTTGTTTCACTTTTTCCAAAAACAAAATAAAAAAAAAAAAAAACAATTTCTTAAACCAAAAACACAAAAACATATTATTTGTTGAAAAAGTGTTTTTAATTTTTTATTCGAAAACTGAAACCAAAAACAATTAATATTACTGAAGAACACCCCCCCTGGGTCGGTACCAAAATATTGACAAATCCGACTTTGAGCTTTCAAGGCTGCAAACAGCAAATTAACAATTCATGATCTGTTAGATTATCAATATATTTCTTCTTTTCAATATATAAAATAAGTGTGGTGCGCATAAGGGATATTCTTTCATATTGATGCTCTTTCACGTACGTACTAAATATATAATATAATTGACACTTGACCTCGACTCCTTCTCCTTTGCTCATTGGAGAAACCTCCCATTCATTATTCACAAACTCAAACGGTGCTTATAGCCATTATTCTGGACCAACGAACAACGGAGAGAAGTACTACAAACGTCTGTCAGCGGTCCAACCCTATCATCACCACTATTATTCAAATATATTTATATATATTTGATATTCAGCAGGCGTGGCGTCAGTAGCTTTACTCGTCGATTTACAGCTAAAGATTCAATTTCATGCAAAGAGATAGTGTGATGGATTATTGATAAGATTAATTAACTAATTAATTATCATGCATATGCTGATCGCGTTTGGCGAATAGAATGAGCGAAAGGCTAATATAAGATGTGATCAATGTGATGTTATGGTTACTCGTAGATGAGCTCATAAGTCAGGACTTCCGGACCAAATAGCCAGCTAGCGTTACGACAACTCCTACGTTTAATGGGTTCTGACTTGTGAGCAGTAAAGCCGGTTTTGATGATTCTTTAGGAGTTCATGACGACATCCTCCAACCACTGGACCGGGGCTTCTCTGTTGACACAAAAGCTACTGAGTACATTGGAATAAATGAATCGAGGAGGATATATAGTTCACGCAGTTAATTGCTCTATAATTATTCAAATTAATTAATTAGAAAGCTAATTAGATTGTTAAGATTTTTATTGTACTTTAGTTTTGTATGTATATCTAGAGATGATTTTGTTCTGGTTAGGTGTCTAAATCATTTTCGATCATAACATGTCTTGTGTTCCTTTATAGTAATTAAAGTGGATGTTAATTTGGCATTTATATCTAGAGAAAACAGTGCCATGTAAGCATTACATCAGAAAAAATAGTGCTTCACAAAACGGTCTCTTATTTGATATTATTTTTTTCATAAAAAATATTGTTTCAGATCATATCTTGAAAATCGGAAAAGTATGGTCTGAAGCAATGACAAATTTGATGTTTTCTCAGAAAATAATTGGTTACTATCTCTCTACCTACGATAGAGATGAGCAAAAAAACCATAAAACTGAACCGATCTAAACCGAACCAAAAAACCAATTAATCGAATCCATCAGTTTAATTTCGGTTTAAACAAAAAAATTTAGTTAATCTTGTACAAAAACCGGCAACTCACCCTTGTATCTCTTATTAATTAAGTCTCGTCAGGAATATATATTAAACAAATGAGTGTTCGTCGTCAGTTGGATTGACCTCTTGCATAAAATGAATCGCTAGCGCTACCCGCGGTGACTCCTTATAATTAAATGGATGATCATGTATTACAAGGGTGAGGTACCATCCCCACGAAGTTCTTTTCCTCTTTTCCGAAAAGAGCCCCAGGAAGTATTGATGCAATATTCTTTTTCTTTTCATTTGAGCAGATGATGAGATGAGAGGTCAGACAAATTACGTTACGTGGGGGCATGACGTCATCAAAAAATATAATGACAAAGAGAGAGGCTAACAGCACTGAACATTGCCCCAAATGGGGGCCAAGTTCAAATTAAAATACAATGACAAGAGAATGGAGCCTCCAAAACGACCAGGTTCATAGTCGTACTAGTTCAACCAGCTACCAGAGTTACCAGCTTGGGTGGAATTATATTGGCTTTATATGTTGGAGCTAACTAAATAACTAGTAACTTCTCTCCTCTTCTTCTACTTTCCCTAATTCTAATTAATATAATGTTTTTATATGGTTATAGTAACAAAGCATGCATATATACAGATCCACTGTTTATTGGTGAATGATGAGTTGTGACATCTACTGACATGGCCTACTTGACTAGAGTAATATTGATCATGATGAGGAAAAAGACAGAAATATGGAAGTATGTATCGTCGGAGCTAAAACAAATCAATATATAAAAGCATGGTTTTTAAAACTGAATCGATGACTGAATTGATCAGTGTCGGGTTACTGGTTCAAACAGTTAATTCATTTTAACAAAAAAATTTTGAAAATGCTTAAAACCATTTGAACAGTTAATCGGTTGGTTCAGCGATTTATTGATCAAAATCAACAGTTTAAAAAAAAAAATTATTTTGAGAGAAAAT